CTCTGATACCACTGATGGGTTTGAGCCATAAGAACTTCCCTATGTGCACATGCAAACCCTAATGCTTGGATCTAGGTTTCTCTATTGAACATGCAATTTATCCAAGTCTTGCAAACCCTAGATCTAGTGTATATAATTCGAATTTGACATAAGAAACTCAGATCTAGATGATTACCTCTTGTAGCTTGCTTGATTCTTCTTATCTTGGAGCTTAGAGTCACAATTGTCACTCCTCTAATGGCTTACAAACACCAACTAGCAAGAGGATGATTTGGAGAGAGGAGAGAGGTATGAAATCGGCCCTAGGGTTCCAATGAAGCAAGTGTAGCCGATTTCCACAACCCAAGGGGTCTATTTATACTGTGAGCTTCTAGGGTTTCAGCCAAAACCCTAATGGACAACTTAATCACCAAGCAGCCCATGGAACCTTCTGGATTAAGGCCATGGACGAAAATATGATGGACTCACATCATAATTTCGTTCACCCCTTGCTCCATTGGGTTTCCCAGCCCAATAACTCAATTATCCAATAATTGCAGTTTAGTCCCCTATATTTAATTAATCTCTTTTAGTCACCAAATTAATTCTTAATTAATCTATGACTAATATTAGTTAAATAATATGATTATTCCTTTAATATATTATTCACATAATATATCAATAAACCATAATATCTTCTCTCTCTTCATAAATCACCCTGTCAAGTTGCTATGGTGAAGGCAACCCAAAAGGATCATGCACAACCGAGTCAAGTACTTACCAAATATAGTTACGAGCTTAGACTCTAATCCAACAATAATGACCAACATTAAGTCACTAAAAGTATGTTGCTATTAATTTGGTTTTATAATTAATTTAATTAACTTAATTTTATTTTATAATTAATTTAATATTTTCTTTTTTGTTATTAGTTTTTTTAACATTAATTTAATTTGATTTTATAATTAATTTAATTTAATTTTAATATTAATATTAATTTGATTTTATAATAAATTTAATTTGATTTTATAATAAATTTAATTTGATTCTAGGTGTAACTTAATTTGATTTTCTAATTAATTTAATATTTCTTTTTTGTTATTAGTTTAATTTTTTAAACTAATTTTATATTACTTTAATATTAATATTAACTTGATTTTAAAACTAATTGAATTTGATATTACAATTAATTTATTATTTTTTTATTGATTTTTTTAAAATTAATTTAATTTTATTCTATTATTAAGTTAAAATTACTAGAAGTACGTTGCTATTAATAACCTAATTAAGCTAAAGTTGTAATGACCAGCATTAAGTCACTAACAAAATTAAGCACTTTGATTTTAAAATTAATTTAATTTTATTTTATAATTAAATTAATATTTTCTTTTTTGTTATTAGTTGTTTTTTACATTAATTTAATTTGATTTTATATTTAATTTTATTTTATTTTAATATTAATATTAACTTGATTTTATAATTAATTTAATTTGATTTTATAATAAATTTAATTTGATTCTAAAGGTAACTTAATTGATTTTCTAATTAATTTAATATTTTATTTTTTGTTATTAGTTTATTTTTTAAACTAATTTTATTTTACTTTAATATTAATATTAACTTGATTTTAAAACTAATTGAATTTGATTTTACAATTAATTTATTATTTTTTATTGACTTTTTTAAAATTAATTTAATTTAATTCTATTATTAAGTTAAAATTACTAGAAGTACGTTGCTATTAATAACCTAATTAAGTTAAAGTTGTAATGACCAACATTAAGTTACTAACAAAATTAAGCACTTTGATTTTAAAACTAACTTAATTTTATTTATAATTAATTTAATATTTTCTTTTTTGTTATTAGTTTTTTTAACATTAATTTAATTTGATTTTATAATTAATTTTATTTTATTTTAATATTAATATTAATTTGATTTTATAATTAATTTAATTTGATTTTATAATAAATTTAATTTGATTCTAAAGATAACTTAACTTGATTTTCTAATTAATTTAATATTTTCTTTTTTGTTATTAGTTTAATTTTTTAAACTAGTTATATTTTATTTTAATATTATTATTAACTTGATTTTAAAACTAACTGAATTTGATTTTACAATTAATTTATTATTTTTTTATTGATTTTTTTAAAATTAATTTAATTTTTTTCTATTATTAAATTAAAATTACTTGAAGTACGTTGCTATTAATAACCTAATTAAGTTAAAGTTGTAATGACCAACATTAAGTCACTAACAAAATTAAGCACTTTGAAACCATATACAATACACTACTAGAAGTAAGTTGCTATTAATAACCTAATTAAGCCAAATGTATACATCCAATTTGCATATTCCAATTTTATACAATTAAGCCAAATGTATACATCCAATTTGCATATTCCAATTTCATACAATTAAGCCAAATGTATACAAAGTTATACATCTAAATACAAAATCAAACAAATGTATATATACATCCAATTTCAATTTCATGCCAAATTTCATTTTTAAGCCAATGTGGTATAAACATAAATAAGAAAAACATACACAAAATGCATAAACACTTCCCACAAATCTAAAAAAACATATACAATCCAACAAAATGCACAAACACTTCATAACTCAAAATCCAAAGATAATCACTTAACAAATTTGAAAATTACTAACAATTTATCATCCAAATTAGCACCAAAACAGAAAAATAATAGAAAATAGGAGGAATTCGACCTTGAATGTGGGCAATTTCGGAATTGAGCTCAAGGGTCGCCAGTTTTGGAGGTTTTGCGGGAAGGTGTGGCGGTCTTGTGGCGGCAGGAGGGGCTAGCACCGGTTTTTACCTTCGTCCTCCACCTAGTCGTCTCGTCCAACTGGTCAAAGTGAGAATTAGGAACAGAAACGAGAGAAGGAAACGAGAGAGAACAGAGAAAATGTCACAGAAAAGGAAGCTGGTAGGGGTTATTTGTAAGGGGCATTAGCGGCGACGGGCAATAGCGGCGACACAAAGGTATTAGTGGTGACACTAGGGCAATAGCGGCGACACCTTAGAGGGAAAAGTCAGCGCATTTTCACTTTCCTCTACAACCCTTCGATTGAAGACAAATCGGACGGATGTGGCTAATTTGACGCGGATCGCTGTTAGTTAGCATTAGCGGCGACGCCTATAGCGGCGACGCAAGGCAATAGCATCGCCGGTAATGCCAACATTTCTTGTAGTGTGAGTTGCAGGTTCTCTGGAGAGTGTCATCGCTAATTGTCGGTGTATGTGAGTGTGTGTGTGTGTGTGAGAGAGAGAGAGAGAGAGAGAGAGAGAGAGTGGTTGTCGGAGATGGTGACCGGGAAAGATAGTAGACGGTTGCAGGGTTCCGACTTTTGAGTGAGAGGAGCGGAGGTTTAGTGGTGGTGGGAGGAGGGAGGCGATAGTTTAGAGGATATCGGCACCGGAGATGGTGACCGGAGGTGGAAGAGTAGTTCAAAAAAAAGGGAGGCGGAAGAATTTGACTTATGTGTGTCTGTAACATACTGTAAATGAGATGAGGGTATTATTGTGCATATATTAGTGTTTCAATGGATGGATAAAAATCCTATGTGGAAAAATCACTTCCCTAAATTATGTGATAGAACACTATATTAACAAACGATAATTGGTTATAAGCTACCATTATCTTAACAAATCTATAAATCCAAATTAATTAAATAACTAATAAGTGATTTTATACATATGAAAGTACAATTTAGAGTGAAACCTGCAACATGGAAGGTTCTTTTCACGATTACCGCCAATCTAAAGTAATGTTTTTTTAAGATTTTTACAATCAAAAATATTTATATTTATATTTTAATATAACAAAAAGAAAGGATTCATATTAAATAAATACCATGCGTGAGTCGACGCTTGGATCCACGGTGGTCGACGATGGTTATTAAAATGGGGAAGGAGCCGGCAATCGATTTCTTGGATATAAGGTTCCTGAGCATGAAACGTATGAAACGTATACACATTAGCTTCTTTCAGTTTAATATCCTTTTCTTTAGGTATTATTAAATTCGAAAAAACAAATTATTGCCATTATATTTTTATGTGTATGTAATCCAATAGACTAGGGTATATATATAATTTTATTGTGCATCATTTTAATCTGATTCATTGATATATAAATTCTAGGGAAACAGAAAGGTCATGATCGGTTAACCAAGTGAACTAATTGCCTAGTCACAACAAGCAAATAAATAGATGAGAAAGCCAATTATGGATTCTAATTTGACATAACATTGCTTTGATCCAAAGTAAATCCAAAGGAATATATAGGATTCAAATATAAAGGTGACTCTCATGTCGTCCAGGCATCCACCACTCCTTTGTTCCAGGCTTAAATTCATCCAACAACCTAAACCAATAACCATCTTGTGCATGAAGCAGTGATTTAGTATCTTCATCAAGTTTAAAACCTCTTTCTTTCATTTCCTGGATAAGCGTCTTCTGCATACAATGAATCCTTAAAATGCCCCTTTAATAAAGTATTATAAGTAGCAACATCAGGAATCTCGCCTGTAGACCTCAAAAAATCCAGATATCGCTTTGCTTTTGTAACTTCACCTATTAAACTATACCCCTCAATGAGTGATTTCTATGTCTCTACATAAGGATAGATAATCCACTGGAGAATGCCCTCTGCATCTTGCAAGCGACCTATCTTGCAACATACACGGACATATAAATTACGTATCTCCAAATCCAGGAAGCCAATGTCATCCAATTCTATAAACAGAGTAGCGAGGTCTTGGTAATGTGAAAAGGTGCACAAGCTATGAAGCATGCAGCTGAAAGTGGTAACACGAGGTTTAATGTTTTTGCGGAAGACCAACTCTCTGAACAACTTTAAGGCCTGATCTACCATATCATCCTTACAAAGACGATGGATGATGGTGCTATATGCCATCAGACTAGTATCATAGTCTCTTTCACCTGTCAGCTTAAACAAATTAAGCAAAGCAATCGCCTCATCATTCAGGCCAATTTAGCAAAGGCCTTTAATCATATTGGTGTACATGACTCCATTAGGATCACAAACTTTGTTTCTGATCAGCTTTTTGAAGAATGCATAGGCTTCGGGGACTTTATCTTCAAGGATGAGTCCATCTAACAGTGCACTGAACGTAAATACATCAGGTACAACACCACATTTGTAGCCATACCCTAGGACTGCAAATCCTTCCCTGGTGCTGTGCATTTGGCATAAACACTTTATCACAATGCTAATAGTGAGCGCATCAATAGGAGCACCTACGCTGTTCATTCGTTGAAAAATCTCAACCGAACAAGAATAGTGTTTCTTTTTAGTAACAGCTTGCAACAACTCATTGAATCTAGCAACCGGTGGCAGAGGCTGCCGGTGTGTAATTTCATGGAACATATCGAGGGCATCATCACAATTAGTAATCCTGTGAAAGATAGATCTACGACGACTGGAACAGGAATTTGAATGAAACGAAGCTACAGCCGTTATTCCGGTACCTACTTCTACCAAAGCGGAAGGACTTCTGGAAGAACCAAGGGAAGAATGAGTGAAGAAGTTACCTTTGAATTTGAATTTGTTAAGGGGATGGTAGATCATAAACCAAACGACATTTTTGGAATTCGCCATCACCGCTCTGCAATCCAAAATCAACAACACATCGACCAAAATACGGCGTAGGGTTCATCTGTATCCCAATTTTACAAAACATTCCGTAAAAACTAAATTACAGTCTTGGTTCCTGTGGTTTAAGCTTATTTACCTATTTAAATATAACATTACAACTTAGTTTAAATATAAATTTTAGTTTAACTAAAAGAACTAAAAAATTATTTATAAATAGTTAAAAGTGATAAATTTTACTGTCTTTCTAAAAATATTATAAGTTGGTTAATAAATAAATATCAAACCTAAAGTGTAATAATAAATAAACTAAATTTTAATTTTAAAATAATATTTTTACTTCTATTTATAAAGTTATGTCTTTAACCTTTAACATATTATACTTAATTTATTAGATTTAATATGTTGTTGTATGTAAGCCATTATAAGTTAAAGCTACTACTTTTGAATAGTTTGGACAAATTACTTAAATTGTTAATTTAAATATAACGTTACAGTGTCAACTAAAATATAAATTTCAGTTCTACTTAAAAACCAGAGTGTAACACCCGGTTCTTGGTACGTATTTAAATTCATGTAGTTTCATGTTTTGCCCTGGGACTCGGCGAGTTGGAGGCCCAACTCGTCGAGTAGACTTGATTTTGATCGGGAGGTTTGGTGACCTACTCGACGAGTCGGGGGACCAACTCGACGAGTAGAAAGCTGTGTGGATGAAACCCTAATATTTAGGGTTTACACCCGATTTAAACAACTTATCTCGTCCCAAACCAGCCTCCATCATCCCTCTCACTTCTAGAAGGCCCTAACTCGAACCCTAGCCATTTATTGAGTGTTCTTGAGCTTTGTGGTGCCAATTTTGTGTGTTTGAAGTTTAAGGAAGAGAAGGAGCTTGAGAGATCAAGAGGAAGTAAGTAGATCCAAAGGTTTGGGCACATTTCCAGCTTATTTGAGGTATAAAGCTGAAACCTTGACCATCTAACTTTTAGATCTCTAGTTAGGGCTCATTTCTACCCCTTTCCTAAGCTTTGTAAGGCCATATTCGAGATTGGGTGTGTATCATGGAATTACACTTCGGATATGGAACCATTGAGGGTTCCCATGACATAAAGGTGCCAACTTTATGGCTATGGGAAGCCCATGCAACTAATAAACCTCTTTTCTTGGCTTTTTGAGCCAAATACCCCATCCATGGACACCAAGTTTGTCAATTTATGTACAATATGGACCCTAGGAGGTCAGATCTATGGTTTAGATGCTTTGAGACCCACTGAAATCGACTGTATAGTTTTGGACAAAGAGGGACTCGGCGAGTCGTTCATGGTATTCGGCGAGTCGGGTCGTATTTCCCCATAAAATCCTTCTGTTGATGAACCAGATGCTAAGCTAGAAGAACACTCAGTTTTCTAGGCTCATTAGGGACCTGGAAATCATGGAACTCGGCGAGTGTATTAGCGAACTCGGTGAGTTCAAGGCAATGTCGCAACCACATAAAGATGGACTCTACGAGTTCAAGGAGAACTCGGCGAGTCACAGACTAAGCACCTTCATACGGATGAAGATGAACTCGACGAGTTCAAGGATGAACTCGGCGAGTCCGTTGAAGAAGGTCTAGATGTTCTGTTGAAGGTAAACTCGTCGAGCTCTTGCTAGACTCGACGAGTAGGGACGGGGTTGTAGCATTCTGCGGACATGGGGACTCGACGAGTTAGTGAACCAACTCGGCAAGTCTAGTCAACCAGATGTTGACTTTGACTAAAGTTGACTTGACCAGGGTTTTGACTTTGACTTTGACTTGGATTTGAGTGACCCTTTTAAGGGTTATGAGTATGAAATGATAATGTAGAAAGGATGTTATGTAGGGATTGAGGAGTCGAGAAGAGTCGATTTTCGTACCGAGGACACTGCAAACACTACACGACATTGAGGTGAGTTATATTCCAGTAGAAATGGGTCTAAGGCACCAAGGTCGGCCCACTAGTAGTTTATTATAGTTGAGATGATTGTCTTTGTGATAATCGTCTGCTTTGCTACTACCTGGTATGTTTATGTGTTAGCATGATATGATATATGTGATAGCGGTAGTAATAAGGGGAATATTCCCCGGTTACTGGTCAATAGGGCCAAAGGGGTAGTTCAGTACCAGCTATGCTAGACAGTATGATTATGTTGCGTTAGTATGCGATAGTAGTAGGGGTGAAATAGTCTCCGTAACCGTTTGAGATAAACCGGAGGGAAGGACGGACACTCCGGTATGTCTGACAGGGGCAGGTTAGGCACCCCGGTATACCTAGCAGGGTAGGTCGGGCACCCAGATATGCCTGACAGTATGTTTATAGTAGGGTATGTGGTATGATGGGGGAACTCACTAAGCTTCGTGCTTACAGTTTATAGTTTTGTTTTCAGGTACCTCTTCAGCGAAGGGGAAGGAGCCGGCACGGTAGCAGCGCATCGCACACACTCCTGATTTTTGCACTATGATGACCTTAGGATTGTACTCTAACATTATTTGGAATGTTGATTTGGAATTAAATGATTGTTGATGCTTTGGTTTCCTTCCAACTCTGCGAATATGTCTGTGTCACTCGACACTCACTGAGGGCAAGAGTGAGACAATGTTCTTCATTCAAGTGTTCTCCCTCCCCGAGCTCTTCTTGCATCTTCCTATACTTCGCTTGAATCTTATCCTAAAATAAAGAAAACAATAAACATACATTAATTAAAAGAAATAAACATACATTAAATTTAAACACTAAAATAATAATAATATACCTTAAAAAATTATAAGAATAATAATAATACTAACAACAACAACAACAACAACATATTTAACAACGTATTAACTTCGTTTATTACTTAACTAATCATTATGTCCTTGCGGTGTACACCAACCTTGTAACATCCAAATCCAGGTATTTCATTTTTACGCCCTTGATGTATTTAAAGTTGGCAAAAAAGGACCCTCCGTACGCTGGCGTACATGTATATAGGCTTAGCGTACACAAGTGTGTGAATCGGGTAGCCAAAGCTCGTACGCGGGGCGTACGAGGCCAAAGGCTAAAACCCTAATTCTCGGACTTGAGCCTTATTTAAGCTCATTTATGACCTTTCTTCCTTACCAACCTCCACTGTCTTTAAACGTCCCTAAAATACTCGTTACCATTGAGAGTGATCCTTGAGCTTGAAGGTGCCAAAAGTAACCCTTTTTGGTGTCTTTGCAAGAAGAAGGAGGAGGTGAGCAAGTATTGGATGTGGGAGAGCTTCTAGATCCTGACTCTAAAACATCTTGAGGAGTTTTTGGAGGTAAAAAGCTCATATCATTCTAATCCTTTTCTAGTTTGAGTTAGGGTTTGGTAATAAGTCCATTTTTGGCCCATGGATCCTCTCTTTTCAGTTTGAGCAACTCCAGAGGTTATAAATGTTAGGTATGAGTTCATTTGGCATGTTAAAAGCATAAAAATGCTAACTTGATGGTTGTTTTGGCACCATGCATGAGTTTAAGATCTTAAAGGGAGTCTTAATAGATTAAATGAGGTGTTGGGTTCCCATATGGCATGCAAAGGCTTAAAGTTGCCAACTTTATGCCTTAGGACCTTTAAATGACTAAGATCTGGAATTAGACGAAGTGGCTGCATGAATTAAGCACTTAATGGCTATATGTGCAAAACAGCTTGTACGTTGGGTATACTAGTTTATACGCTGCCTGTACCGCCAAAGGACCTAGTACGCTAAGCGTACTAATGATGTATGATGGACGTACGCTTCCAGTGAGTTTTGGGCTTACATTGGGATTTTGAGCCATTTGGGCCCTACTTAACATTGGGCTTGGATCTATTAGAGTAGTTGGGCCTTTGAACTTGTTATTGGACTATAGGTGGCATGGTTGGGCCTTTTGGGCCTTGTGGCCCATTATTGTTTTGGACCTTGGATGTTAGGCTCATTAAAGAAGAAAGACTTTTGGGCCTTATTGGAGGAGTTTGTACTTATGGTTTTGGCCTATTCCTTGAGTTTGTAACTTAATTCTAATTAGGATAACTTGTGTATATTAAGTGTGAGATTTTTGGACCGCTAGCCGAGCAGTATTTTTATCAGCAGTCTCAGGTGATTCTTTTCACTATATTAATGGGTCGAAGGCACCAAGGCCGGCCCATCATATGACATGAGGATTGATAGTTGTTATGTGTTTATTTGTATGAAGACCATGAGGGTAGCCCATGCATTTGGATATCAGACCATAGGGGTAGCCCGTAGCATTCCAGGTAAAGACCATGGGGGTAGCCCATGGCACTTTGGATGTCAGACCATAGGGGTAGCCCAAGACATTACAGGTAAAGACCATGGGGGTAGCCCATGGAACTTGGATATCAGAGCGTGGGGGTAACTCATGGCATTCCAAGTAAGGACCACGGGGGTAGCCCATGACAATTTTACGTATTTTGCATGGTATTCTGTGATTGTATGTTTCAGATATTTCGAGAATTTACTAAGCTTTTGCTTATAGTTTATTTTGGGAATCCACTAAGCATTCACTCTCCAACAATTTTTGCACTTAATGATTTCGATACTCTGATCTTTTGACATGACTTGATGTAATGGATTTTTGGAAACAAATTATGTTTGTAATTCCCATTTTAAAAATGAAAATTATTATCTGATTTTGGGTTGTTACAAGTTGGTATCAGAGCCTTGGTTTAAGAGATTCTGGCACATTCTCGGGTGTGTCAGAACTCAAACTAAGAAATTATAATCTTTAAAGAGAAAAATAATTGAATTTTTTCTGAAAAAGGTTTTATTAATGAAAAGGGAGAGTGAAATGCGTGTAATCAACCGGCCTCGAGTAAGTGTCTTCCCAATTTATCCATGTTTGTGTGTTATGATTGGTATGCTCAATATGTGGAATTGCATGCTAGAGTAGGGCTAAGGATACCATCAGGAGCTACATGATAGAATTTTCTGACTTGCGTGATGCCTTATAACCTAGGAAGATTTGATGCTTGTATTACTTGAAA